GAGATGAGAGGAAAAGATTATGCTACAGTGTTCATGACAACATCACTGTACAAATGAGAACCAGATTTGACCACTGGGAGGAGCTGAATTTCCTTGGCTTAGTTGACTGCAAAAAATTTGCAGAAATGTCAGATAAATTTGATGATCAAAGATTAGAGAGCCTGTCCACATATGCAAAATTCTTTGATCTGATCAGATTAAAGTCTGATTTGGTGGGCCTATACTGTTCACAAACGGTCCAAGGAATGACTCCTGTGCAGCTGCTTACTTTTTTGACCGACCATGACCTACAGGAGACTGTAGCTGAGGCCACAAAACTTTTGAAGCTGGTCTTAACTATACCATCTACTACCGCATCTGTGGAGAGGAGCTTTTCTGCTTTAAAGCGTATTAAAACCCACCGCCGTAACAGAATGGAGCAGAACAGACTCTCCTCCTTGGCTCTTATTTCCACTGAAAAGGAGAGACTCATGAAAATGTGGAATACCCAACTTTTACAACAAAGTAATTGACATCTTTGTCCAGAGGGATAGACGCATGGACTTCGTCTACAAATTAAAGTAAGCACCCCCTTTAAAACATAAATTATTAATTTATTTATTATTTTTAAACTGTTATATTGGCTTGTATGTGTTGTATGATAGTGTGCTATATTATAAGCCTGCTGTGCGCAGACACCAAAATGCTCTCTCTTTCATACCCTGGTGCGCCGTCACCTCTGCCACATTTGTACGTCTGTCTGTGCGATAGTGCATTTTGTAAGGGTTAAAATGCTGTTTTGTAGTTGTCTTTTTTTAATCCTAGTGCGCCGTTGCTAGACGCTCACTGCGCGTCGGTCTGTGCAAGCGCAGTTTGTAGGAGCGAATAGGCTGTTTTGTACTTTAAAGCTGTACTGCTAACACAATGTTTTCTGACTGTAGCCTATTCAAATCCTGGCTGCGCGTGTTTGCACAGTTTGTGGTGAATAGACTGCGTGTCGGTTCGCTGACACCGCGCCCCCTCTCTCTCTTACTGTGTCCCGCACAGAAACATTTGTTTGTTGTGTAAGTCATAAGATAGATGTGTCCATTAATTTGATCATTACATTTTATTGTGCATTGACTTCGCTGTATGCCCTAGGCAGTGACAGACAGTGATGATGAAAATAGGCTGCTGCATTTAGTGAATATAGGCATATAGGTCACAGCCTACCCATGAAAAAATTTCACCGCACGTTACTGGACAGTTAATAGTGTTGGTCTGAGTTTTGTTGTGCCATATAAGTAGAGGATGTTTACTGTTGCTTTACAGACTTAACTTTGGGGTGGGGGGGTCAATTATTATGTGAAGATATGAAGTTTTATGGGCTGGGCTAAGCCCCCATTGTTTCAAGGTCCTAAAAACGCCCCTGCTGGGTACTATCACTCACGTGCACTGCAGCAGGATAGGACTCATAGGACGTGAGGCAGTTTTGAATGTCATCAGTGTTTGCATTTTGTGCTTCTATTATGATTAAGTAGGCTACATAGTTAAATCATTTCGTTTTGTGTCCGTTTTAACCGTGTTTATTGTTGTTTTATGACCGGGTGTCTCCATTTTATTTTGAAAATTGACCGGATTCTCTCTGCCATTCTGTGCCTGACTTCCATCCTGGTTCGAACCAGGAGCACAAAAAGGACAAATTAATAAGAAGTAAATAACGTGGGGCAGGCTGCACGCTCCGCTGCTGAGACGCTTCTGACGCTTCCAGTGGCCAGTGGTGTTATGCCGCGTTTTGCCTGCCTGCGAGAATTGCATGCACCTCCAAATACTGCGTTTAAACGCTATACTATTCTCCGTGGGGTTCATCAATGGTGATAAATGATTCGAAGTATATATTTTATGAAAGTCTTAATTTTTAATAAACTTAGTAGAAGTACCATTCCTTGAGATTCAGTAAATATGTGGTGATAACCGCGTTTGATCAATGAGCACAGCAAAGTGTCTGAAAAGGACCTAAAAAGGTGGATGCATAATCCGGCAGAACAGATTTGTAGGCTACCTGCCGGATTTGCATTCACTTCTTTTCTCAGCATAAATGACCGTAATCACTCGCGACGTGCATGCAATTCTCGGCAGGCAGGCAGAATTGGGCACAACACCTTGGGCTATGGACGTATTAAAACCGTGGCACAGCCGTAACGTGCCGTAGCCGGATTCCCGGCGTAAGGGTGATGTTAGTACTCACTTCCTCGGGTTTTCCCAGAGCAGCGGCGGCGCTGGAGCACAGCTTCTTCAGAAAGTCCTCAGAGAAGGAGCTGATAGGTAAATTACTCTGTAAGTCGATGAAAGGCATCTTAAGGACTACTGGAATCTAGTGTGCCGACAGCTCTGTGTGGAGACTAGGACGAAAGGCCACTGACGGCAAACGTATCCTAATAATTCTACTTCTTCTTTTCGTTTTATGGCAGATTGCAACCATGACTTTTAAAGGAGCATACCGCCACCTACTGTATCGGAGTATGTAACATGAACTATGTTCGTTGGGACTACTTTATATCATAAAAAAAGATAATAATATTAAAAATATAATTATAAAAATCAACAAATCAAAACAAACAAAAAACCTATATTTTTCAGATATTGTACTACTGCTTTCTGTGTATCCTTTACACTATCTCCTGTTGTGCCTACTAAACCTTCAAGGTTCCACTTCCTTCCTGCCTGACTTATCTTTTGATTTAGCCTCATCCTCTCATCCCTGTATTTCCTACAACGTAATAGTACATGTTCTACATCAAACCTAGATCAAACCTTAGCCTGGTTAAAACGCTCTCCTCTCTTCTGTTACTTCTATTCACACCATGAGCATTAATAGATTTTTGTAAGCTGTACTATTTCCTTCCACTTTTATCCACATCCCACCTGTCCTGCCATTTCTTCATCATTTCGTTTTAGATTATCGCCTTAGCTTCTCTATTTCCAAGGGGTATATTTATGGCATTGTTCATCCGTGTTGATTTTTTAGCTATTTTGTTAGCTATTTTGTCTGCTCTCTCATTCCCTTTTATACCTACGTGGGCAGGTACCCAGCATCTTTCTATAGTGTCTGTAGTCTAAATAAACTTTGTTGGATTTCTAGCATTAGATCTTCTCTATTAGATTTCATATTTTGAATACTATAAAGGGCTGCTACAGAATCAACACAACACACCACTCTGTCTGGTTTTACTTCCTCAACCCACTGCAGTCCTATAATAATCGGCATCATCTCTGCCGTGTACTTTGAAGCCTGATCAGTTAATCATAATACATTCATTGTTGGTATATATATTCCTACCTTGTCCTCTTCATCTTTAGATCCATCTGTATATATCTAAGTAAGTGTAATATTTGCTCCTTATGTACTGACTTGCCAAACTCAACCTGGATTGCTTTAATTGTTGTTAATCTCATTACACCAGCACAAATCCTCAGTGCTTTGTTAGTAACTCTATCCAACTTCAATAATGTTCTGTGTTTTAGCTGTTGCTCCATATGTATAGCATCCATAATCTATTGTTGACCTCATTAGAGCCCTGTAAATATACATTGCTGATTGTTTATTTGCTCCCCAGTCTTTCAGGCGGTAGAGCGGGTTGCCTGTTAATCGGAAAGTCAGCGGTTCAATCCCCGGCTCCTCCAGGCTGCATATCGAAGTGTCCTTGGGCAAGACACTTTGCCTCTGGTGGCTGTTCCACCAGTGTATGAATGAATGTTAGTTTCTGGTGAGGCTCAGTGAATGAATGGTGAATGCAGATGTAGTGTAAAAGTGCTTTGAGTGGTTGAAAAGGCTATACAAGTACGGAGTTTTCAATGTTTATTGTCCCATGAAACAGGAAGTTGTTGTAACTTCAGTCTACATGCTCACATCTACACCAAACTTTGCATGTTTGATAACACATCTAAAAGCCAAAATTCACCTATAGTCACAGCGCCACCTGGCAACAGGAAGTGACTACATTTATGCTGTGATGAACCACTTCTTGCACGTTGGCTATATGTACATCAAAACTATCTCAGAAAACTCTTAACACATTGATGTTGTTATGTTGTAAAGCCTGTAAGTTTTCTTTCAATGACGTGTCCTTGGTAGGATGGCGAATTTCCATGCTTCACCGTGAAACAGGAAGCCAGTGCTTCTCTTGATGTGTCGGGGAGTGAAGTTCACTCACTGCACAGCCTCTCTGGCTTCTGTCACACAGGTTTATACAATATAAGACCAAAGCAGGGCAAGTCTGAAATTTGGAGAACTTCTCAGTTGTTACTGACAAAAATAAATGCAATGGTCTGTCGATTATTCTGAACGTTTAGCATAGCCCAAACATTTGTGTCCTTTTTTTACTCTGCAAGTCACAATGTTTGCGGGTGCGGGCGGGAGTGGACACATGTTCTGGTAGCGGGCAGTAATGGTCGCAAAATTAGCGGAAGCAGGATTAAGAAAACAGTCGTGCAGGTCTCTAACGATTCTTAGATTATATTATTGTTGTAGCCACTTCTTTATTTTATTATTTTTACTTTTTGTTTTGTTTTTGGCTGTTTACGGCTGGGTCCCATCTTTATTCTCCACATCAAATAAATATATAATTGCACATAACTGCCACTCTCTAATAAACCGGCCCACTCCTCACGTTCTGGGAGCGGTTTAGAAAACGAACATGGCCACTTTGGGCTGGCTCCCTTCTAAGGGGTCTAAGAGCAACCCAAAATAGGACCAACATCGGACAAAATAAAACAAAAAAACATACAAACCTTTAAAAGATAAAAGGAGTAAAAAAGTATTTTTTGTATTATTAATAATAAAAATTGTATATCTCTCTCTCTCAAGATCAAGTAATTTTTTTGACTACTGTTGTTATTGATGTCATTTACTTTATTTTTTTCCCCCCTTTCTCATGTCTTGTTCCCAGTCTATCGTCCTGTCAATGTTGTGTATTTTGTCTCGCAATAATAAAAAATAAAATAAATATAAAACATGAATAAAAAGACAGCACATGCTGACAGAATGTGTAAGTAGATAGCAGCTATTTATTAAAGGTTTATCACTGTACATTACCATTGTCATCAACCAACAAATGCTTACTGCCGGAAGTTATGTGTTGTCTACAGTGTGTTTAATTACTGAAATGTCTGTCATGACAGGCAACACTTATCCTTCACACCAGTGAGGTCATACCTACAGAAAAACAGAAGGAAGACGTCAACATTATAACTACTAAAATAATTTATGTTTTCAATACAAGCAAGCAGTTGCTGTAGCTCCTTATGAAAAGTTTCCAAATCAAAAGTCATAAAACTGTAAAAAGTTCAAAGTGTGGTATACCAGGATAGCAACAATGTAGTTAGAGAGTGTTACAAGAAGCGTACATGAAGAAGATTATAGAAATCTTGTTGTTAGGCACTTGCGGCTTACTTTGAGCTGCGATCTAACCAGCATTCACCAGACTCACCGTGGGAGTACTTGCACTGTTTGAGGGCCTCGTTGAAGCCCTCACATAAACTCAGGTCAGTCTGGTTGGTGGCACAGTCCAGGAACTGCTTGACCTCAAAGTGACAGGGGCCTGGCTGGGCTGGAGCAGGCCGGGGGGGCTCCTGGAATGATTCCAGCAAGGAAAGAAACACATTGAGTTCAAATATCATATTTAACAAGCTGCTAGAAAGTTTTTATATGGCATTGGTGATTGAGGTCAGTCTTGACAGGCAGGTTTTGATTTAAAGCAACAGTCTGGGTGTTATTTTGAATCAACAAG